ATTTTTTAAGCCCTGCATGAACACCTTTAAAGTTTGTTGAAAGAAGATGAAAGATGGAGAACAGAATAATATCATTAGCATAAGAAACAAAATACTTCTCCCCCTTCAGGCACTTTCATTCTGTCTGCCAGATGATGAATTGTCATGTCTCAGAAACCGTTCAAAAAACAAGAAAATTGGGATGTAGTGCCATGCTTGGCAGCAGCAACATCTCCCAAGAGGGAGAAAAGATTGCAGGCGGAAAAGCATCTAATCGTCCAGTCACTGCAAAGTGAAATGCCTTTCATTGGGATGTTATGAATACTTCTTTACAGCATGTGTGCCCCATTCTTTTGTAACAAATAGAACAGTCTGTTAAAGGGACCGTAACCTTTTAATTAAAAGCTTGTGTTTGTAACTAATGTTGCTCATGATGACCCTAATATTCCATTCACACCACTAAACCGACTCCACAGTGACTTAAAGATGACTGATTCTTGGCCTTTCCGTGAATTGTAATGATTTTGTTCAGTCTCTTGTCAGTCTCCTGGTGGTCACATTGGTGTGACTGGGGTATTAAGTTGGCCTGATGATTGACATGGAAAAGATGACTCAAACACATTCCATCCAAAAGTTGAACAAAACTATGTAAACAAACATTGCTGTTCAATGCACACAACTATGGAATGGAAAACAATTGTTTTGGTTCATTTAAATTTATGTAGCTGAATGAATGTCGGGGAAAGATTCCGTTAAATTTGAAAGGAGAAATTCAAGCAATATTTCATATTCATGATGATTCAATAGAATTGATTTTCCAATGTGAAAGAGGCACAGAGGATCAGAACCACCATTTTCACCAGTTCATCTTCATTTTGTGGAGATATGTGTCATGTCACTTGCAAATGCAAATGTTCTGAACTCTACCATATTGATTGTTCTGTACTCTACCATTATTAATGATAATATTGATACAGGGGATAGACGAAAGCTCTATTAAGCATTGAATCAGATTTGTCTGAATTGAAACGGCTGTGAATGCTCTAAAGCCTTCGTTGTACAAGCTTATCCTCATTAGTTGGGGATTTGTGCCACATGAGGGATGCTAATGTTCTGAACTCTACCAATATTGATACCTATAGAATCCCAGACAGAGCAGTCTTTCTTCAGGCGTGATTCAAAATTCTCTTGTGTGAAAGGGGTGAGAATGATCAAAAGACTAATTTCTCCTGGCCAATCCCCATTCGGTTGAGATATATGCCACTTAAGGGATGCTAATGTTCTGAACTCTATTGTTACCTGTAGAATCCCTGGCAGGAAGATAGATATATATAGAGCAGTCTTTCCTCATGCATTGATTAAACATTTTCTGATGTGAATATGGTATGAATGCTCTGAAGACCAAGTCTACCGGCCAAACCTTATTTGGTGGAGAAATGTGCCACTTGAGGATGCTAATATTCTGAACTCTACCAATATTGATACCTTTAGAATCCCCGGCAGAAACAGACAGACAGTGAGTCGATCAAGCATTGATTCCGTCACCTGCCTTTCATTCTAATTGACAATTCAGCAGCTGACTTGAAATGAAAGCTTTTAATTTGTAACAAGTTGATACAATATATACCCTTTGCCTTCGGGACCGGATAGTTCCTGTGTTATTCTAGGGGTATTAGGAGAATCTTTAGTTGTTATCTGGTTAATAGAATCAGCAGTCAAATTACAAATTGGCAAAGTAGAAATGTATTTGAAACTGTCATTGGTATAGATTTGTGTAGAGCACTCTAGGAATGATTTATTACTGTTACTTTACTAAATTTGTATTTTATACTTGAAGTAAAATGTTTATTTTCATATCAGTAACGTGTTTTTAAATTTACAGAAATAGAGCGTAGAAAGGTGTTAGCTATCATTTCCTAGACATCAGCTTACACTTAAAGTATACTTGTAGAATGTTGTTTGCCCAAGTCTAACTTTTCTGATTTCTGACATTGTCGAAAGCGAGACTGGGTATAAGGTTTCTGCTGCCAGATCCATTGTGTTTGTCATATAAGATGGATAATATTGGGTATTTCTTCCGTCTTCCGATTGTGTAATCTTAAGATGGGTTTTACGCGATATCTCAAAACGGTAATGACTTTGTCTTTGACAGGGAAGTTTGTCTTTGTTGTTAGATCCCCAAGTCTAACTTTCCTCATTTTTGACATTGTCGAAAGCAAGAATGAGTATAAGGTTTCTGCTGCTAGATCCATAGTGTTTGTCATATAAGATGGATAATCTTGGATATTACTTCCATCTTCCCATTTTGTAATCTTAAGATGGGTTTTACCCAATATCTTAAAACTGTAATGACTTTGTCTTTGTTGTTGGATCAAAACCTTTCATTGGAAAGTTTGACTGGACAGAAGTAATAATCCTTTCTCCCTGAATCTATATACACATCATATGAAATAAATCCCAAGTGCATGCATTTAGAGACTATTGATTCGCACATCAGAATGGAGAATTTGTTATACTATTATTGTATTATACCATTAGCAAATTGGAAAAAACAAAAACAGCACCTTTGCATGATTTGATTTTTGGAGTAATCTTTTAACTTTGAATTTCCCTCAAAATTCCACTTGGCTAATCATTTGAATTGTAATAATGTTGAAGAAGAATATAGTGGATGAAGAATATAGTGGATGCATTTTTTTATGTAAGCTTTTAGTTTCTGTAACATCTCTTGTTGATAATTTGAATGAATTTTAAATTGATAAGTTTTTATGAAACGTATTCTTGGATTTGTGTTTTTCCCTCTTCATTTTGCTATTTTGCTATAGGTCACTCTTACTCTAATCAAATAACCTAGAATTCTGTAGCCATTAATTCAAAACAGCTAAAGCTATCTGCAAAGGCCACACAAGGGAAACAGACAAATCACCACTGTAGATAGTTTGTCTCTCTAGACAGGATCTGCAACACATTTGTCCTGCAAGAGGGAGCAACCGTAATTAACGTTGTATAAACCGCCCTCGTGTATTAACCGCACCCCTCTTTTTCGCCCTTAAATTTTTTTTTTTTTTTTTTTTTTTGCCGACTTGGTGCTATGCCTGGCAATGTCTCCCAGCTCAGTTATCGGTGTGTTGACTCACCACTCAGAAACTAGAACAACACTCAGATTTGTCTGCCATCTTGGTTTGAAAGTAATCTTTCTGATAGATTTCAATATGCTGACTTAAAAAACAGTAGAGGACCTAGGATAGAACCTTGTGGTACGCCATGTAATAGAAGAAAAATTGGAGGAATTATTTTTATCAACTACATATTGAAATCTGTCAGAAAGATTACTTTCAAACCAAAATGGCAGACAAATTCGAGTGTTGTTCTAGTTTCCGAGTTTCCGATTTTTTGTTGTTGGTGTACCGTGTATAAACCGCACCCCCTACTTTGAATTTTTTTTGGCGGCAAAAAGGTGCGGTTAATACACCGTTAATTACGGTAGTAAAAGTGACCACTATATGTGCAGATGGTCTTTATAGAGAGGTCACCACTATGGATTGACTGACATGAATATTTCTTTAATTACGTATAAGGTTGACCCGGACTCATTGCTATTCAGATTGTGTGTTTGTGAAGACTCATGACCAGTTTAAAACAGAAAATCATCATTCCTGTAACTCTGTTTGCTATTTCAACTTGAGACTCGTCCGGTGTACCCTTCAAATCCCCCAGAGTAGAAGGGAATAAACATTTCTAAGACATCATGGTGCTCAAGAGCTGTCCACCTACTCTCCGCCGGTCCGCCCCTGTCAGACAGTATGGAGCCTGGCATGAGAGCCTTGTCACACGATCACTACATGGACCAGTTTCAAACAACATTCCAATTCCGTCTAAAGTGTCTGGAAAAATTTGCATGTTTAATTCTCGAGTCACTAAAGAATGAGCATGGTTTGGAAGAAGTCAAGCGGCAGGGGCAGACGTGACTCGTGTGGCAATGTGGATAGAGTGGTGATGTGATGAGGCATGAACTGAATGTTGCTTTCCAAACCAGGTCAGACATAATGTGAACTTGTGTTAGGAGAACCAGAGTTGTGAAGCACGCTGTGATTATGTCGTTTTATTTTGCAGCACCCCCTTTCTTTTTCTTTTTTTGGAGGCAGTTTACTATTTCATGTACAAACAAGGCTTTAGTCTGGGTTTATCTTCTATGGCCTCTCAGTTAAATGTCGGTGCCTTATTAAGCTAAATCATGGCAGGATGATGTCTAGCTTTAACAAGATGGCTATTAACCTTTCATTTCAGCTGAGATAATGAAGACATTCCAATTATCACTAATTGGTTTCTTCTAGAAATCAGCACAAAATCTGGTTTCTGCAGTCATGAATAGAAAACAAGTCTTTGAATTTGTATATGAAACCATGTATTCAATAAATCAATGCTGTTACAAGGACATAAACTGTGTTAAAAGTATATAAGCTAGTACCTATGTAGCTCCGTACAGTCAATATTGAGTATCTGTAATGGATGCTTTTTAAAATATCTTTTTCATATGTTGTTCGATAACAAATCTAATTGTCGGCGCTTTTTTAAGATATAGATATTATCTAATGAAGATGTGAAGATGTTAGTTCATAAACTGTTTGTAATCTTCATCGTCATTCATTTGGAGATCTGCCTTTCTGAAGATGCTACCTATTTTTTTATTTGTGGTAAATATGTGCCAACAGAAGACTACAGAGATTAAATTATGAGTTGTTTTAAGGAAATATTGTAATTGCATTTTGTATATTTCACCTGTTCAGAGCCATAGAAGCATTAACTGTTTGTTAAAGTATATGAGTTAATATCCTTCTGACTACAACCAGATCATTTCATACAATGTAATTTAGTATGATTATTTTGCTTGTGGACATATTGATACTTAAGATGTCTTTTTGCCTTTATCATGAATATATGTATTTTCAATGTCAACATCTATTATTAAAATTTGCAGTATAATATGTTGATGTCTTTTTGTATATATTTCTCTCTAACAGACACACAGACCTAAAGGTGCAGATCCCACAACGAGAGGTCAAAGAGTACATCTACAATTATGGGACACAGCGGGCCAAGAAAGGTAAGTTTAAAGACCCAAGTCAGGGGTAGATCCAGGAGAAGGGGAGGGGTGGGGGAGGGTTTCAAGACCCCCCTTTCTGTTGTTGTTTTTTGCCTGATAAACAATTTGGGGCGTTCATGTATAATCCCATTTTAAGACTTGATACTGCCTTCTTTTTTTATTTGCCTGCCGGCTTAATTGCTGGTCTACCTTTTTCAAATTGAGCCCCCACCATCCATTCTTAACAAAATTCTGGATTTGCCCCTTTGAGTTTGATAGTGAATGCTTCTTATACCTAAATGACTTCTATTCTTGACAACTTTGTATGAAATGTCTTTATTTCTCTTGAACCCATTGCCTACAGGAACCAATAGGGCCCTGTATTACGTCCATGGGAATTCGAGTATTCAGTTCATAACAGGTTAAATGTGTCATTGTGCAGATAAATGAATTATTAGAAAAGATGTTTTACAGTATATACTACATCAAGTATAATCAGTTACTTTTGTTATGAGGTATTTTCCAGAGGTAGCCTTTAAACAGTTATGATGATCAAATGTGTTTATTTGTTTGTTTAGAACATAGTATGTAAAAAGAAGATCTAACATTATGAACCTTGCCATTTTGATGACAAGGTTTGATAAATTAGCTCTTGGGGGCCCCCCTGAGGTATATAAATCATAGGAGACAATTTGATCTTTGTAAAAATAGAATTGACATTTTAAGCCATTAGCACCTTTGTGCAGTGAAAGAAGTTGTATACTTGAAAAAAGAAACATTGAAATTGTATCTCTTGTTTCTGTTTGGCTTCAGACAGATATATCATAAAATGTCAACAGTGATACACTTTTCCCCAAGGCAGAATCAAACTGTGCAATCCTGCAGATGAAGACCTTGTGATTCTACAACCATTGGCCTATTGTTTATTCAGAGTTCTTATCATGGCTCTCAGCAGAAAATTTGCGAAAGTGTGTGGGAAATTTTAGCATTCAAAATATTGATAGGAAAGGTTGTGTGCATTTAAGGTTTTCTTATTTTCTCAAAGGAGAACAAAACTTAACACGCCTTACAGTGGAATCAGTTGATATACAAAATAGGATTAGAATAATTGAGCCAAGTTCATATCATGTTTACCCACTCTGAATTTGATAATGCAAACTTATTTTATGGGTGCTTCTCTACATTCAATATCAATCCAAATCTTCAGTGTTCACTTTGTCTTTAAACAGCTGCCTGGCTCAATTGAGATAAACAGTATTCCCCCACATACTGCAGTAACAAGTTCATTTTCAATGTCAGGTGGTGGCAAAATGCCTAGAGAGTATCATTATACTGTCTGTTGAGAGCCAGAAGGCATTAACACAGACTTTGAAATAGAGTGAAACCCCCATATAGCTCTAAATAGAGAACGTTCAAAATTGTATTTGCATTTGATAGCGTAATTAGACATTAGAGATAACGTGAATTATGATTGTAATCTGTTATTTTTGAAATCATTAGCAGTTAATCATTTTTAGTCATTGCCTCATATATGAGATCTCATCTGCATTAAAATGAAATAGAAATGATTTAGAACATGATTGCATTATCAGTAATCAATGGCCTTTGTTTGAGTATTGGCAATCAGAAAAAGTACCTTTTTGTGAGTGATGTGCGTAAGATGTGGAACAGCCCTCATTTTCTCTGGCAAGTGCTATAACTTGCTCTACTTTCAACAACAGATTCAGTTTGTTGTCTTTCGTCAGGAGAAGTGTCTCTCCATCCTTTTAAGTATTCCAATTTCTTTGTTTGCTTGTAAAAGTATAGGTTACATTTGGTTTATATTGGTTTTAAGGTGAGTAGGGAGATGTGATTAGAGGGATGAAGAAGAGAGAAACATCATTGAAAAAGAAAAGAGAAATAATTAGAAAAAAAAGAAGATGAATTTTAAATGAAGAGCAACATTTTATAAAGATGAAAGAAAGGTGACTTAAAAAGTGATTAACTGAATTAGAAAGGAGAGATAAAAATTAACTTAAAAGGGGAAAGAAATGTATTGCATAGAAGAACTGAACAAATGACTTGAAAACAAATATGAGAAAGAAAAATAATTGAAAATTAAGCTGAAAAGTAAGACCTTTTTGTTGCTACACACTACAGCCTGTCAATCATCTTAAAAATATTGCAAAGTCTTCAATATATCAGACAATTTCCATAGACCTATAGATTACCTTATAAAATTTGCAAACATTGCATTTACATATGGTACATAACTGAACTAAATTTCTATCGGTGTTACAATGGGATATTGAAATTGCCCGTAAGATGATTTCTTGGAAGGTTAATTGTTTACAGCAACACTTGATAATTTCTCCATTGTTTTTCTTTATCCTGGCACTTTAAAAACATCACAAAAAAGACAAGTGTTGTCTTCATGCTTTAAAGCTAAGGCGCACGATCACAAGAGGGGTTGAGATGTAGAGAAGATAAAATGAAACGCGAGAATTAAATTGGAGTCGGCTATTGAAGGAATATTCAACAAAGGGTAGAAGGATATCAAATGAAAGGTTATTATAGAGATGACTGGAAGTCCATGAATACATACATGTAATTTCAAATTGTCATTATTGCAATTCCCTTCATTACCTTGAAAACATCACCTTGAAAATACAGTATACTGGTGCTCTCTAGATGCAACTATATTAATTGTCTGTTTAGAACTAGAAGGGCGTTAATCAACATATCATATCACAGAGTTAACATCAAAAAGATTTTAAAAATCTAAAGAGTCCATTTTTTAGGAAAAAAGAATATGTTGACAGATCTTTATTTTATCCCTGGACCATGTAAATTTGCCTCTTGGCTTGTTAGCATTAGGGAGCATTAGGGAGCATTAGGGAGGGAGGGAGGGAAGGAGAGAGACTATATAATATGCACTTGGTTAAGATTATATATCATCTGAGAATCAGAAGGGCCTTAGCTTTGTCTGTTTAGAGCCAGGAGGTCATAAACTATTTTACTTCTACACAGGGTAAATGCCCTTCTTGATCTCAATTGATCATATTATCCCAATGGTTTCTCTTTTTGCAAAAGAAATAAATCTCAACAAACACAAATCCCAGAGTGCAACCCACACAATCTCTCCTCCTCCTGATACAAGAAAGGAATTCAAAAGATAGCATGGGAAACCTAAGAAGAACAGGATTGGCAAGACACAATCTGTGCCTAAATGTCATGAACCATTCATAAAGTAGAAAAGCCAACAAGGAATGATTTCAGATTACCGGTTCATGCCCAATGAATCCATGCATCATTGTTTAAATCCTAGCCGTATACAGGGAGAGCATCCATAGCAGTATTATGATAGGCAGTCTTGACATTTGCTGCTGGATCACAAATGGCAAAATATGAAATTGAAAATATATTCTTACAGCTGTTCAAATTTGATTGTAAAGCCTTGTTCACACTTGATGCAGTAAACCACCTAAGGAAGAATTGATGCAGCCCCCCCCCCCCCCCCCGCCTCCTCCTCCAAAAAAAAAAAAAGATTGTTGAAAGACAAGGGGCAATATTGTGTGGTAAAGAAGCATTTATTTGGGCAGAATTTCTAAATTAGCCTGTTAAGTACTCACTGAACTGCATACATGTGATTACTACTTTATTTCATTGTAATAACTAGATGAAACACAGAACAAGCAAGAGAAAATTTATTCAAAGAAAGGTTTGGAAATATCAATTTTGATAAAAATACACAGACATTCACTTCCCAACCTCAGTATCAGTTATGTGAAGCGTTATTGAAAAGAATTTGTGCGCTTCTAGCGTCTATCTTTTGCTGGATGTTATTGTTTTGAGTTTTTATAGATTTTTGCAGGGGTGGGAAGAACGCGCAGAGATAATGGTCCAAATTATGTATCTTGTGAACATGCTTGGAGCTAAATGTTCACTATGATTGATGCCAAATTTTAGGCGAGAGCTGAGAAATTGTCTTGATGTCGCCAGATAATGAATCTATTTTCACCATGACAACTATACTTATTTGGGCTGTCTCTCCCCCTCTCCGTCTCTCTCTCTCTCTCTCTCTCCCTCTCTTTCTCTCTCTTTCTCTCTCTTTCTCTCTTTCTCTCTCTTTCTCTCTCTTTCTTTATTTCTTCGTTCCTCCTCTTCTCTTCTCCTCTTTACCCATATCATACTTTATATTCCAATTTATCTGTCTATCTTTCTCTGTTGTACCCCTATTTTTCCCTACCCCTCTCCCTGTTACTCTCCTGCTCTCTCTCTCTCTTTCTCTCTCTTTCTCTCTCTTTCTTTATTTCTTCGTTCCTTCTCTTCTCTTCTCCTCTTTACCCATATCATACTATATATTCCAATTTATCTGTCTCTCTTTCTCTTTCTCTCTCTTTCTTTATTTCTTTGTTCCTTCTCTTCTCTTCTCCTCTTTACCCATATCATACTATATATTCCAATTTATCTGTCTCTCTTTCTCTTTCTCTCTCTTTCTTTATTTCTTCGTTCCTTCTCTTCTCTTCTCCTCTTTACCCATATCATACTATATATTCCAATTTATCTGTCTCTCTTTCTCTTTCTCTCTCTTTCTTTATTTCTTCCTTCCTCCTCTTCTCTTCTCCTCTTTACCCATATCATACTTTATATCCCAATTTATCTGTCTATCTTTCTCTGTTGTACCCCTATTTTTCCCTACCCCTCTCCCTGTTACTCTCCTGCTCTCTCTCTCTCTCTCTCTCTCTCTCTCTCTCTCTCCCCCCTCTCTCTCTCTCTCTCTCCCTCTCTCTCCCTGTCACTCTCTCTCTCTCTCTCTCTCTCTCTCTCTCTCTCCTCTCTCTCTTCCTTCCTTCCTCTTCCTCTCTGTGTCACCCATATACTTATATCCCCATTTCTCCATCTCTCTTTCTCTCCTGTACTCCTTTTCTCTTTCTTCCTCTTCTTGCTCCAAATAAACTGAGACAGAGCTCGAGGCATCTGTCATCTCCTCTTACCCCTATCTTAGAAGGAGGCTTCTTTTTCTTATATGTAATTTCTAC